GCAGAGGGGAGCAGCAGGCGGGTCAGGAAAGGTCTGCCATGCCATGTGGTCACCTCAGGGGCAGGCGGGGATCGAACTCATGCAGAATTGGTTTAAGCTTTTTAGTGCAGTGCTTTAACCCACTGCACCACCAGGGAGGGCCCTCAAGCTATGATTTTTATTCTCACCTGTATATCACAATTTGTTCTGTGTGAAAACATTTTGATCACATCCCTATTTGTAGTACTATCCTGATAAGATGTGTATGGCTTTCATTACTGATATAATTTTATAATACTGTTCTTAAGTTTTCTCTTACTTTTTCTAATGCAAACAAACAGTTCTACAAAGATGGTAATGATGACATGCAGTCAACCCTATATTATGCTTATATGGATTTAACATTCACTGATTCTAGCCATGGATGAAAATACATATGTAGCTAGATCTATACCGGTTACATCAGCACTGAGAATGTAGACATTTTTTGACATTGCTTTGAATCAAAAGTCTAGCAGAGTTACATTATGGATCTCTAACCAATGTGCCATAAATAAACTGGAAATCAGGTGACTTAAAATTAATGTATTAAAACAGCAGAAGAAATGACAGATGAAAAAAATCTGGTAGTGAACAAATAACTGAAGTACCAAGATTGCATTGCTTAATTTCACCAATAATTTACAACCCTCATGCAGAAAGGGCAGATTATCTATCAGAGAGAAGAACATACTCTAAGTATAAAATGTATCAAAGAGACTGTCTTTGGTACCAACTTTTCATTTGATTTTTGATCACTTTGGATACAAAAGGTGATAGCATACTTTAGAAACGGTTTTTAAGAATAAATTTCAGCCCCTTATATATAATAGCTATAAAAAGTTAAACCAGACAACTCAATTTTGTTATTTTTTTTAGATTGCATATGCACATTACATAGTATAAAGTACATACAGAAACTAAACATTATTCTGAAAAGAAAGAGATATAATAAAATCTATAATAAATTTTTATATGATAAAATCTGTAAATCTCTGGACTTGTTTATATTCTGGATATATTAGCAATGGATTTGGCAAAGAATGGAGGAATAAGCCATTTTTGGGTCTTTTTTTTTACATTCAAAATACAGTAATAGATAATTTTTATGCTAATATACTTTGGAGTGCTTGAGTTTCTCCTCTTAAAATTTACAAGACAAACATTCCTACTCTAGTGAGGACATCTACATTCAATTTAAGTGTGTCATCCAATACTGAAAAAGATATTGTTAAATAAACTAAGGAAAACATACATCAGTCCAAGAGTGAAGAATTCCTGCTTTGGAAAATAGTTAGCTTTATTTTGTTCAACTGAGCTGGATTCTAGTATTCTTCTCTGTTACTCTTTTTAGTAGAACTACATGAAAGAGATGAATTTGTAAATAGTACTCTTTGAGAGAAAGATTTACATTCAGAGTAATGTGTTTAAAGATAGAGACGAGAGGAAATAGCAGAAAGTAAGCAACAGATTTTTTGCTTCGATTTTCTTCATTACTTACACCAATTTTTCTTCTAAGAGATCTGCAAAATACAACTCCTAATAACCATAATGCACTTGAGTAATGAGCTTCAACATAGCTGAGTCACCATAAAAATGGAAAGTAGTGTGCCGAGAAGAAAAGTGCAAACTTCAATCTCAAGAATCAACAAAACAAGCATATAATCAAACACAAAACAAAATAAACATAATTATCAATGTCATCAAGATAGCTACAAATAAAACATATTTACATAAATGAAAATTGTTTGATATGCAAAATTGTGCATGTTTCTAAGTGAACTTTTTTGCCTACTAAAGACTTTTTTTTTTAACTACATAGGCACTAAACAAATACCAACATTCTAAAACTGTAACTCAAGCCTCATCAGCATTAACACATTAAAATCAAAACTTGGGAATACCATGATTTTGATAATGAGAATTCTTTCTTCCCACCCCCTTCCTGAAATCAGCTGTTCTAGCTGAAAGTCATTTAATAAGAGACAGAACATACTAGATCTTAAAAAGGGCAATTTTATTCTCCAGGAGCCATTTAGGAATGTCTATAGACATTCAGACTGCTGCAACTTGGGTGGTGCTTGTTGTAAGTAATGGATAGAGGACAGGGGCTTGCTAAATGTCTTTGTTAGGACAACCAAGCATTACCTGGACTAAAATGTGAAGATCCTGTTTTGGATAAAAATCCATTGCATTAGGAAAAAAGAGTTTCCAGGAAGTGTTCATTTTTATAAAATATGTCCTTTCATAGCTTGAAGGAGTATTTTAGGAAGTATTTGGTCATGTTATTTATAGAGGATGGTCACTCCGCAGAATTATCCACCTGGATTTCTAGCATTTACATAGTTTTTATAACAGAAAATTGAAACTGAAAAAGCGTTATCTATGACAGAGTATATCAAGCTTGAGTAACTGATAAAAAACATCTTTGGCTAGACAACGTTGAGGCACTTGCAAATAGCAGGACTGCTGAACACTAATGTGGCTTTGAGTGAGCTAGCATGGGATGGCAAAGTATAATAAAGAAATAAGGACCATAAAAATGTAGATAGACCAGGGCCCTCCCTGGTGTCACATGGGTTAGGACACAACTCTGTAAGCTAGCTGCAGCCGCTTCAGTGCAAGTTCCATCCTTGGCTCTGGAGGTGACCCACATGGCACAGCAGACCTCTCCTGTCTCGCCTGCTGCCCCCCTCAGCGGTGTGCTTCATAGATCTGCCTACTCTGCTCCCCACTCTGTCTCTGGTGATCCTCTCACCCCATGCACCTCTGGCCTATACTCCCAGTTCTGTATGCATGAATAAATAAATCTTTTTTAAAAAAATGTAGATAGATCCTATGGGTGAGAAAGCACATCCTGACCACTTTTGACTCTGACATTTGCAGTGTCCTTTTGAGAAAAAAAGTAGGGTCGGACCCTGAGGTCCGATGGTAGTTTATATAGTTTGGTATATATGGTAGTTTATATAGCATATATTATTTGCTAGACATTTATACTGTTATTTGTATCAAGATTTGAACCTGTGGGTTCTGTTTTTTTTTCCAAGCAATAATATTTTAAATAATAAAGCTCTAACACACACACACACACGCACACATATGTATATGTATAAGAGTATGCATATAAACTTTCCACTTACAGAATAATGTAAAGTACACGTTATATGTATGGGAAGGAATAAGAAGAAAATAGGCTTATTTTAATGTCAAACAATGTAATATTAACCTATCTTTCTTTCTCTTATAATATGGAATCTATGATGTGTAGATAAAGGAAGGGAAAAGAAAAGTAAAGAAACTATTTCTCTTTCAAGAACCAAGAGTGCCTTTTCTTTTGTGCTTGGAAAAAATGATGCCATCAAGCCCATCCTACCTAAGAATTGTGTTCTAAGGATATAATATAAATCATGACTCAGTTTTCCCCAGATAGTTTTAGGAATATAAAACTATATAATAAAGAAGTTTTCTTATTTTTAAAAACTATCCAACACAAGCTCTTAAATATGTAGAATTTCATTTAAATAAGTCAGTCAACAATTTTTTATAAAGTATTTAACACTTCATTGTAGAAACATAGGCAAAATGACTATTATAACCAAAATGAAAAATACTGTTCAATTTAAAAAATGTACTTAAACAAGAACCTGAAAAAGTTTATGATATGCATAACATTGTTCAAGCAAAATTGCACTAGTATTACATAAATCAAGAGTTTATAAAGGCCTCAATATGGCAAAGTTTAGAAATAGGTAGTATGCATGCACATAGTACAACAAAAAGTCTCTTTATAAAACAGCAGTTTTTTAATGCTTGTACAAAGGGATAAAGAGCAACCACAAACATATTTCATCTGTTAGGTTAATACATTATGACAGCTAAAAGTCAGTCATGTCTATCAGAGGAGCAAAAAGCCCTCCATACCTTGTGAATAAATCTTTTGTGCCTTTAAAGATATTTGTATAAAAATGCTATTCCTTTTTTTTTATACAACTTAAATAAATCGCACTTGTTTCAATCAAAATTTGAAAACAAACAAAAGCAAATGTGGTCCATGGTTTTGCATAACCAAAAGAAGACAGAAAAACAGAGTTACTGGTCAGTATGTATACTCTCCATCTTTGATTAAGGTCAGATAATTGTTTCTCTACAATTTGGAAAGCCTCTTAAGAAGGTATTTTGGGTCAGGCAAATATTGGATTAGTCATATTATTTATCAAAAATATTTTACCATTACTCTACACCATGATGGTTCTTTTGCTTCTTCCTTTTGAGCTAGCAGAGAGAATGCGTTCACACAGTTGAAAGTCTACCATTACTTTGTGTGCTTATATATTTTTCTTTCAGGTTCTCTGTGGTAAGGGCTTCAGTTAACCTTCTACAAAATGCAAGTGACAGGGAAGAAGTTCCTAAGATTATTATTATCCAATGCCCCATTGTGCTCTCGGCTCACTCTTACCTCACAACTAAGGGAAAACAAAAGATCTAATCCCATAGCAAGTGTTGTTTTTCCACTTTGGTTATATTTTTGCTATGTTCTACCACTTATATATATAACTATTGCTTATAGAGTGTATTCGTTTAGTATATCACATAGAATCCACTAAATTTTGGGAAATGTAATCATGTGTTCATGCAAATTCTTAATTTTATGTATTTTAAAAAGATTTTCCTCAAAATTCTCATCTATCACTTGGCAATCTAAGACTAATTTAAAGCGGTGATACTGAACTTGTGAGGCCCATATATTTTCATCAGACTGAATCAATCTTAATGGGCACAAAGAAGAGAGTTGACCATTCAATCATCTTCCACTAGTTTAACCAGAAAAGGAGAATGACATTGTATTATAGCTTTCAGTCTAAATACAGAAAAAGTGCAGAGATCCTCTTTGTTGACTAAGTTAGAACTCAGAAAGTTCATATAAAATAGATTGCTCATATTCACACTACAAAGGAATATGTTATTTTTAATTTTAACAAATTCAAAGGTGTGTCATATCAGCAGCATTGTTGTAAATTGTACTGTAGTGCAGTTCTTGTTCATAAAAATACCATACAAATGGTCCATCAATAGTCATCAGCAAAAAATAAAATAAAAAAAACAACAGAAAACAATTTACCAGGGAAAAGATAAAGAAAGAGGTAATGCTGATGCCAAACCAAGTATAATACTGTTGGAACATACAAAAGTAATACTTATATTTTATACATTTATACAGCATAAAAAAGTATTCATTGATTATGCCACTGTCTCTCTTATCCCAATTTCTATTTTCTTTGGAAGTAGTTCTTTCCTTTCATCAACACTTCCTAAGGAGTTTCGACAGTTTTGTCCATCCATGTATAATTTTGCATACACCGGATTGGAGTAATTTGTTGACTGAAGGGAAAAAAATAAATATGATTTTATTATCCATTTCACTACATAACTAGTTATTTTTAGTATTAATTTTTTTAATGGTAACATTTATTTGCAATGCAATTAATTTAATAAATAGTAGATATATATCAGTGAAATTCTGTTTATAAAGATGATTGACTTTAACATGGTATTAGACAAAAATATAATTGTATGCTTTTCAGGTAGCATGAATCTAAGAGTAGCTTTAACATAATCTTAAATTTGGAAGAAATCTTCATGAAAACTATTCACTGAGAATTTATTTAAAAGTATAAAACATAAAACACATGGTCTTATTTCTAGTAAATATGTTCTTCACGCATTGGTATTATAGTAACAGACAAGATACGTTTAAAGAAAGTCATTTAATTCCTTGGTTCTTATAATTTTTCAATATGAATTTAAAATAACAAAACAGATGAAAGTAAATTATATTATTGGAAAGACTTAAGGACATATTTTGATTCAAGGAACTTCTATATCCTTATCAACGCAAATATTTTTTGACTCTTCCAAGGAATCATGAAGGATACAACCATCTTAGTAAATTCATAGATACTTAGACAACTTTTAAATTAAAATTGAGATTTGCAGAAGAGATCTTTTACAATTGAATACCATGTACAATGTTCATTTACTAATTGCAACTCTACCCAAGATACTGTTACCTAGTTGTGGTTTATTTCATTTTCTTTCCAAGTAGGACATTAAATCTTAATTACAAAAGAGAAACTTTAAACTCTGAGTCATGCAGATGAGACAAACATGATAAAAATGAGAATGGAAAACAGTTGGTGGGAGGAGTACAAAGGAGAAAATAGTCATTCCTAGCAATCTTGATATCTTTCATATTTGTGTCTTCTATCTATTGTGAGCTATGTAACTTTAGACTTAGCACCTTTCTCTAGAAACTAGTTATTAATTAAAAACTTCTTAAGAATGGTTTCATTACACCATTCCTAAATTCTAAATATTATGCTACATCTTGTATTATTAAAAGTGAGCCTCAAGTTTAGAAATATAAAACAAAGCATTTTAATACGAAATGAATACAAACAAATGTAAATTTAAGTTTTAAATTATACTTAAATTTTGGCCTAGAGATTTCCAAGAATAATCAATTCTCATGTTTATGTTAAGATACTATAAAGTTTTCAAATTAGCAAAGAGATCATGTTAGGCAATACATTCAGTAAACATGTTAAGAACATATAAGCAAACATATTAAGTACATACAAGTAAAACATGCATGTGGCTTCCTATATGTTTTACATATAATTTTGCATAGGCAGGACATATAAGTTCCCAATTTTAAGGCCGTTTTGAAATCTCTTACTAAATAAAAATTCATTTAGCAAGCCTGTAACTAAATCATCATCTTGGAACATGAGGGGTTCTGGGATGGAATGGACATGGAATAATGACTTTTTTTCTCTCACCCCAGCTGTCAGTGGTCCTTTCAAGTCAGAGTTTAGGTAGATGGGTGGCGCTGTGTGTGGAAGCTTGAAAGCACTGGACCCTCCCCCTATATACCTCGCCTGCATGTAAACAGAGAATTTTAGTTTCTAATCTAATATCAAAGAATTATTTTCATTGCCATAGCTTGCATGTCATAAACATAAAAAAATACTCTATCCCTGGGTATTGAACAGTACACTCATGGTAACCTTCATAAATTAAGGAAGAACCATTAATATTTTGAATTTGTGCTTCATATGTAGACATTTCTGTTAAGTTCAGCTTACTGATAGGCAGGTGTCTAGGAATCTCCACTCATTTTTATTTATTTACAGCAGTTGCCACAAAGAAGTCACATCTTTATTAACATTTCTTTATTTCTTTTTCTTCTTTCTTTCTTCTTTTTTTTTTTTTTTTAGAATCAGCAGGGTATACTTATTTTTTCCTTATAAATACGTTTTTAAATTTTTCTTCATTTTGTCCATTTTTCCATCTCAGTTGTAATCCCTATAGACTTCCCACCACCAACGTCACCCATGTGCCATCACCATGTGCTCTTCCCACCCCAGTTCTGATCATGTTTCCCTCTGCTCCTCCATAGAATGCCTCCAGTATACAATTAGCTGATGTTCTTTTTAATTTATTATAACTACTATATATATATATTATTCCCCCCCTCCCCGTTTTCTTACACTAGTGCTTTGAGTGAAACCATCAGTATTTTTCTTTTTCTTTCTGGCTTATTTCACTAAACATGATCATTTCCAGTTGTACTCATTTTGCTGCAAGTGGCATGCATTTATCTTTTTTGACTGCTGAGTAATATCCCATTGTGTATATATACCACATCTTGATCCAGTCATCTATTTTTGGACATTTAGATTCATTCCATGTTTCCCTATTGTAAATGGTGCAGCTATAAACACAGGGATGCAGGTATCCTTTAGAATTATTGTTTTTGTGTCCTTTGGTTAGATACCTAGTTGTAGAACTGCTGGGTAGTATGGAAGCTCCATTTCTAGCATTTTGAGGAATCTCCACACAGCTTCCATAGTGGTTGCACCAGTTTTCATTCCAACCAGAAGTGTAGGAGAGTTTCTTATTCTCCACACCCTCACCAACATTTATTGTTGCTTGTTTTACTTACATATCTATGCAAATTTCTAAGAACATTCACCAAACTCCTCAACTTATTATTCTGAAAGGTTCTGACAGTAGTTTATATGAACATAAAATTTTTTGATTGTCTTTGTATCTTTAGGAGAAAAATGAAAGTTATATGGCAAAATAAATCTGTTTTTAGAAACCTGACTTTCTAGATTAAAGCAAGTTAATTTGTATTTAAATTTGTTTACCAAGTCTCTATGCAGGGAAATCACTTAGACTTTAGAAATTCACCTTAGAGAAAGAATGTGCCTATCTGGTAATCACATATTCATCATAGGGTGTTTATTAATGACACATTAGGATAAAAAGCCTGGATGAAAACTTGGATATTAAATATTAATATTGAATTATTTAATACAAAAATCTGAATATACATATTTTAAAATATTAATTATAAACTATTAATAATGAATGTTTGGTATAAGGGTATGGGTCTTAGGAAAATCTTGTAAATATAAACTCAAGCAGATATTGCCTCTTTATTTCCCCCCACAAATGTTTGAAACAATCTAAGGACTGGCAAATTTTCAATCTTTCAAACAACTTTGTGATTGCCTCTCTAACTAATTTTTAAAATTGATTAATTAACTATTTCAACATTTGATATTTGGTGTCACTGAAATAGAATTTTATCCATTTTAGTATAATGAAAATGGCTGCTTTATGAAAATCATTTTTCTGTATAATGCAGTTTATTTTTGATAACATCATGAATATATCCAACCATTGTAAAACAATAAATACTCAATGAAAAATATTTAATCACTGAAGTTGCTTCAGTGTGGCCTGCTTTTCAAAACTGTCTCTATTAGGACTAACGGCTTTCTTTCATTACTTCTTAGACAATAATTCATATTTACATTTCAAACATCAGAAGTCTACTAGAATCGGTCATCTAAGTCATATTTAATGTAAATTTGGTCAATTGGTCAGCAAATTGAGGTAAATATTTCTTGCATGTTATATTCTAAAATATGCTTGCAGGGAAAGTGAAGCATAGTTTTATTTTCCTAAAGAAAATGTGGAAAATTTTAGAGTACTAAAGTGTTATGATATTTAAGTGTCCAAATTGGCTTAACTCTACCACTAGAAATAAAATTGATATGGAAATGAGAACTCTCTGATGTAATCTCTGTATCAGTTCATATTATAGTTGCATATACTATATTTGTATTTCTAAGAAAAACCCAAAGACCATAAGAAGTCTAGTATTTAAGATATCTTTCTAAATCATGGATAAATTATCAAATAGCACTACATATAAAATCTTTCAAAGTCAAGTAGAAAATACTGAAACAAATTTTCAGGGTTTATTTAATGAACAAATTCAATTGTAAGAGTTTGTGTTGAACAAAGAGTAATAATATTTATTTATGAAGGAGAAAGTCATTATAATGTCTTATCTATTTGATAGTTAAAAAAAGTTATCTACTCAGTAATGATGAAAAATTAATACTTGACTATCAATTTAGGTTTAGAAACTCTAGCCATGATTCTAGAACTAGACTGAACACAGGAATCCTATTCAACTTCTTTTAGCATAGTGGAGCACAAAACCACTTGGGTATAGAGTGGTCATTGTAGTTATTTATAATAGAAATATATATATTTTAATATGTCATCATTGATATGTCAGAAAATTGATAATTATTCAGAATATGAATGAGTAAACTAAGAAAAATTATTCCATAATAGCAAGTTGATGGTCTTTATTCATAATAAATAATGCATGTGAAATGTTCAGATAATGCAGTGAAAGCAAATCATTGCAAGTTTAATTTACCTGTATGACTGGATCATTTATCAATTTCTTCTAAAAGATGCTAAACTGTACAAAAATATAAGAACTTAAAAAAGTAAAGGCTAGGTTTTAAAGCTATATATACCAATGACTAGCTTCATATTGATAGGGAGACTATAGCAAAAAAAGATTTCTGAATCATGATTTGACAATAAACAAGTGCAAAAAATACATATTGCCAAACTTCAATGAAACACAATAGGAATTAAAGTATCATTTGATAGTGAAGTACTCAAAATTTAACATTATTAAAATATCAGGCCATATTTTTAAATTAACTTGTATATTTAGATGTGTTAAGACCAAAAAACTTAAATGAACTATTATTTTGTATAAATTATATGCTTATAAACTAAATAAATATGTTTTTTAAGACATGTTATCTTAAACACATGCTTCCAATGAAATGTAGTCCATAAATTTATTTTCCCTTTAGAAGGGATTATAAGATTTAATACATCCTAAAGTTCATTCCAATTTCAGATAGAAAAATGCATGATGAAACTTAGAACTATATTATAGAAAAATGATTTAAGAAAGCTAGTGTTGACTGTCCATCAATTTAAATAATATTACCTTTGTTGGATCTACCATAAAACCAGCATCTAAAAGACCTCCATCGTTGTGATCATGATCCACTTCATACATGTTATAAGATGGATTACCAATTTCTACATTTATTCCTCCATTGATAATAGGTTGTCTTCTAATAGTTTTTGTCCTAGAATATGTGAATATTAACAAATGTGTGAGTAGTTGAAATATTACACTTAAGATTTAAGGAACTCTCATATATGTAGATTTATTTATTTAAATAAAACTTATGGAAAGTTCATAATACTACATTAGAAATAAAGAATATTTATTGAGTCACAGAGAATCAATAATGTATTCATATACGTTATTTTCTCAATTATTTATCTTTAAAAATAAAAAATATACTCAGAACATATTCCTTCTGAATAGTTAAAACTGAATAGTGACTTATGAATTATCTTTTTAAATTAAACTTTAACCTATGTGTTAAGAAAACCACCCCATAAAAGAGAATAATAAATTCTGAAATAATTTGAGTCCCTAAGTAATTTTGCTAAATTCCTTTTTAATAATAAAAAAAAATCACGAGAACTGGGTATTTATGTAATAACCCTTCACATTCCACTCCTTTTTACCTTTAAAATTGTATAAAATTCCAGTAAGATATATAGTAAACAATGCAGTTTGTGAATGAAATGCAGTTGTCACATAATATATAGTATCATTGTATTGACATTACAAATCTAAATATTAATATAAAATGCTTTTCAGAGACATTTATTATTTTAATGAAAGACCACTACAAAGATAATGCTTACTGAAATTTTAATGAATGTGACTCCCTGTTAGATATATCAGATTACGTATGTGGACCCATTCCATCAACATAACATGGAGTAAGGTTTGTATAAGTTATAATTACTTAAAGTGAAATACAGAGATAAAATGGTAGAAAAGCAGGATTTTTAGTTAAACAACTAAGTCATATTTTAAGAAATTTTTTTTAAAGTGAGTATGCTTTGTAAGTTTTTGTGTGTCTTATTTAATACTAGTCTAAAACATCACATTTACCTTCTTTTTCTTTTACAAAGCACTAAGCCAATTACTAAGGTGGTTATCAAAGTCACCAAGAGGACAAGAGGCACAATGATGGCAATGCTTCCTAAAAAACAAAGGAACAAAAAAATGAACACATCAATAACATGAAGTAAAGATTGATAAATCTGAATTTATTACATTAAATAATTTAATCATTGAGATAGTAAAAATAAGTTATAGACCAAATGTCAATACTCTTAGTTCATAACTGTTACTAAAAATATTACTTTGGCTATTAAATAGTTGATTTAGTGTTATGTTTCTTAGATTCTTTCATTTATATGTTTCATAAAATACTTTTGAGTTTAGAAATAGCGAATTTGTCAATTTTGTGTGTATGGAATGCCACCTTATACATTTACTTGCAATGAAGTAAGTAATGCTTCTAACAACTTGTAAATTTACAGTAATTAAACACATTTACACAATTTCAGTGGCTACATTCCTACTTTCAGTTTTGTTTCCTAACTATTTATGCTATCTGGTCATGAGTACATATGACAAACTTGATAGCAGTCTGGCAAATAGCAAGGCACATTCATAGTGAATTTAGATGGACATACTCCTAACTATGAGTTTTACAACTTATTTGAGAGTGCTTGAATGGGCTACTTAAAAGTACATTGTCAATAAAACAGAAGCAAGAAGACCTACCACACAAATCTTTTCTCTTATTACAACAAAACTTGATTCACCTTCTCAGGTTCAGTTCCAGAATGTTTTCAGCAAAAAAAAAAAAATCTGGAATTTAGCTTATATTACAAATGTCAATTTCTTTTTTCTTGCATCAATGATCTTAGTTTCTATCACATGTTCAAAATAAAATAGGGATCAATGGAATGGGTATTAAAAGCAGAGAATTTGGGTCTCAGATCTGAGTATAGGAGAGAAGCAAAATTGAGAGTCTCTATTCTCCATTTCTAGTCTGACAATAGGAACAATCCCCTTCTATTTTATTTTTTTCCCCCTAAAGTAGTAAGGAGACAACCTACCCTTTTGTTGATAATATAATCTACAGGAAAATTCTATTTCTCTTGTGCAAGAAGAAAATGAAATGCAAGTATTACCTAGTAACCTGAGATTGATTCAATTAAGTATCTAATGTTAACTTTTCCAATAGACAAATACCTAGTGTTTATGAGAGAAAGAAGTTGGTATACTTGGAATAAGCATCTGTTTGGTTCAGTTAAGTCAGTTTACTGAATAAACTAAGAAATAAAGCATCCCAAAAGTTACTTGAAATTTAATGAGGGGTTCTTGAATGATTTAGGAATGAAAAATTAAAAATTATTAAAGCATATGCATTTATTTTTCAAATATATGTATATGTAAAAATATCACAGTAGAAATTACTGGCAATGTTAGGCACAATTATCAACTACTTTGAAATTTATTATAGAAATATAGATCAGTGTTAATAGCACTAGTTCAAAGATGTCTGTTGGTAGTTTTCCTTAGAGATCATTTATCAAAATAACAAAAAGTCTTTACTAAGGAAATATCATATAGAGGATAATTTTTCAATTTGCCACTTCAGAAAATTATTTGTATAATTTAAAAAATAACTATTTTTTCCATTCAACAGCAACAACAAAAAATGTGGCTTGCCTTCTTTACCAGTTTCTAATGGATAAACTCATTTTATTGTTTTATTTTGCACTTAGGACTACACAACTTAGTGAGTTTAATATTATATTACCTCTTGGTTTGGGGGAAGTGAACATTATATGGATATATAATTTATTAGTAATTAATGAGTGTAGAAAATCTGGCACCTTGGATAGTAATTAACATTTGTTCACAAATTTTAAATACCAATGAACAGCTTGCTTGCTTCATAAACTGTGATTTCAACTGATTGATCACAGCTTTATAAATATCCTGACTTCATTATTTTTGCTGCTAAAATTTGTGCAGTTTGTAGGTGTAAAATACTTATCAATACTGGTGTAAGTTATATAAAGTTGCTTTCTTCTCAGTGTAATGATAAATTATTTAGAAAATTAGATTTTATTTGTTCTACACAATTTCCTTTATTTGTAGAAGGAGGAAATGTGAATTGTGTATGTTGAAAAAACAACTTCAATTTTCTTTATATTTTGCCATCACAGATGGCAGATGCAATTCTTCATATTACAGTACTCCATTTAATAGCCTAGGCTTTGGATATGTTTATATAACCAATCAGTTACTGCAATAATGCTTAGTGTACTCTATAAATTAATACAGGGTAGCAGTTTGGCAAGGTTTTTTTTTTTTTTTGGTAAAATAATTTTTATCGATGAAGACAATTGCCACCTATATATATTTTTTAGAATCACAATGGGTATATACAGGTAGCAGTAAATATCACAGTATAACATAATGATAAAAGTCTACTAATGCTGATTTTTTAAAGGTACATTTTGATGAAAAGAGTATACTCTTTTACTTTAAATGTGCACGCTACTTACTATGGGTGGAGGAGATAATTCAACCACCTTCTCACTTAAAATTGAGCATGTCTTTCTTTTGCAACATCACTAAACAACACTGTTTCATTAGAACAAGAATTAAGTTATCAAATTGCTAAACTGAAGAGAACCCTTCCATGTAAGAGGTAGTAGAACAAAGCAGTTGAAATAATAGACTTGGGGACTTTTTGAACCACTGTTAACATATCTTCGAAAAATTTATTTTTTCTTAATTTATATGTTAATAAATTGAGTGGAATCATTAATCTCTATGCTGATGACACAAATAACCTCCTCACATATAAAATCTTGGTTGCCACTATAATACCCATCTCTATATTACCGCCTTACAAATGCTGAGCATAATTTTATCCTACTTAATTTTAGCATATATGATTGCATAAGTCAAACACTAACCATACATTTCCTTAATACTTAATGCAAATTTAAAATAGGAGTACATAATGAATATTGCATCACCCTCAGGTTAAAATGTTTCAGCATAACTTTAAAAGAGAACTGTGGACCCTCCCTAATAGCCTAAGAGTTAAATCTCTTTGCTATCACTTCAGAGTACTGAGTTCATCCCTAGCCAGGGAGCTGATCCACATGGCGCAATAGACTTGTCTCGCCTGCTGCTCCCCTCAGCAGTGTTATTTCAGTAAATCTGCCTTTTCAGCTTTCCA